CACTTCAGCCTTCTCAGAGGCTTCCCTTATCCCAACACTCCTCCTTGGGCTGTTCTCAGCACAGATTCAGCCCACCAGCTCATACAGAGATTTTCGACCGTCGCAGTAGGCACACATGCCCTTTGCATCGATGTTCGTGTAGGCGCTCTTCAGGCCTTGACAATCTCCGTAAAGGTGGACGTGATCTCCCCGCTGAGATGCAAAGAAGGGGCCCCGAAACTTCACATAAGCTTCACGAGGGGTCTGAGTGTTGGCATCTCGTGTCCTTCGCCGCGTCTGACGTACAGGAGGTGGCGGTTCTTCCCAAGAAGAGGCCGACCTATCCAGCGAGGGAACCGGACCGCGCCCTTCTGGAGCGGATGCAGGGCTGTGCCTTGGAGCTAGCTCAGGTGTCATAGGGCCATTCTGTCCCAAACCATACGAACCCAGCTCCTGCTGCACAGCCTGTTGCAGTCGCCGTAGCCGCCGAGCATTCCTTGCCTCCGAGACTCTTCAGAGCGTAGCACTCGAACAGCCACTTGATCGCCTCCCATGCACCAATCGCAGCCACCAAGCTGACAAAAACCAGCGCATAAAACTCCCAAGCAACACTGATTTGTATCCCTCCAACATCCTCAGCAGGAACATTCGAACTTCGCTTTGTCGAGGCTCCACGAGTACCCTGAACCAACCAACCCAAAAGCAACACCAATCTAGCTATCACCCCAACCACCCCCGGTGTTGTAGTGTGTGCCGTTGCTGCAGTGCTGCCTGTTGCTGGTCCCGGCTGCTGCTCTCTTGGCGAAGTTGTTCCCAATCCCCACATACGGCAAAGCTCCAGGAGTCTTGGCTTCGAGAAGGCCTTTGTACCTAAGTCTCCTAATTGAGAAACACCAGGGATATGTCGAAGGGTAATCTCCTTGAGACGCACCGCCTCACGAAGATGAAAGGCACGAACTCGTAGGTGACGAGTTTTCCAAGTTCCAGCTGCCTCGGAACACAGTCCTACAGCAGCCTGATTGTCGACGTAAAGTCCCAGGCGAGGAGGGTCCGGCCTGATTTCGGAGGTAAAAGATGAGAGTCCATAGACCATCTGGATGGCATTGACAGCCTCTATGAGCTCTGCCTCGGCAACAGACAGAGAAACCAGTGGTTGTCTCCCACATCGCCAAGATATGGGGCACCCCAGATAGCAAGCCAGCGAGCAACCGATGCTCCGCCCCCCTTGGGGGGCGAAGCTGGCATCACTGTAACCCTCCACATCATGGTTGTGGGTTGTCGGCTCGCAGAACAAGAACCAATCGGCCGTCGCCTTCAAGTAGCCCAAGGTTCTCATGCCGATGCGCTCCACAGTCTCAGGGTCCCTCACGCACAGACTGCTCATGGTGGCAACTGTGTGTATCAAGTCTGGCCGGCCCTTTGTTGAAAGCCAGAGAAGTTCGCCAGTGATTTTCTGAGCACGCCTCAAGGTCTGCTCGTCGTACTGCTTCTCATCAAAGTTCACCTCCCCCAGCAGCCATGACTGAGGACATGGCGTCCCGTGACCATGCCCCTGAACATCATAGTGTCGAAGTACCTCAGATATGTAGCCAGTCTGCCCGATCTTGAAGCCGTTGAGCGTCTCGTAGATCTCTAGCCCCAGGAAACGAACTGGCTGTTCCATGGATGCCCATGTCAAATCCGAGGCCTTCCATTCTTGTGTGATCCACCCATGAGTAGCCGCAACGACCTCCTCCTCACCCAGATACAAGATGTCGTCAACATAAACGTTGACGAATGCCCGAACTTCTTCCTGCATCGTTCCATCTGGGCCAGGCGTCATGACCACCACACTCCAAACATTCTCATCCGCCCTGTGCTGTCTGAGGAAGGCATCCAGCTCTCCCACCTTGAATCGAGCTCGCCTCAGTCTGTTGTCCCGGAAGGTACTCCACAGCTTCGGAGAGCGCCTAAAGCCATAAAGAGCTCGGTCCACCCGAAATAAGCACTTCGCAAACGGTATTTCCGCCGCCTGGAACACCTTGGGAGGGTAAAGGCAATGCACCCCCTCGCCATCGTCCATCGGGGCCAAGATGAAGGCATTCCTGATGTCTGTTCCTGCTGCCTTCCAAGGACGTGATCCACCTCGTTTGTGTGCGGCATGAACAATCATCGCCCTCAAGGACTCCCCTTGACATCCCCCTGCATAGCTGTCTTCCTTCTGACTCCTTCCCTCGAAGTTGCCACATATGACAAGACGAGCCTTTCTTTTGAAGAATGAAGGCGACCCCTTCACCAACTCTCTTCCAGGATCATCAAGCAGCTCAGGATTGTCTGGAGGTTTTGCCGTGAAGACTCCTTAAGCCGGAAGTATAGATAACACTCCCGCCCTCTCAAGACGACGATGCTCCTCCTCCGTGAGGGGAACCAAGGCTCCCGCATCCAGCAGAGCCTTCATCTCCTTTCCAATGGCCTCCTTCCACCGCGGAAGGAATTGCTTCACCTCGTCAAGCTGTACAGTGTATACGACCTGAAGAGGACCTTCAAGGTTCTCCAAGACAGGCTCGACACCATGTTTCCCGTCATCATCCTCCACAAAGCAACATAGCCGGAACCAATCCCCAACCGAGTAGGCCTTGTAAACCTTCTGCGACTCCCTTTGCTCCAAAGCCCTTTCAGCTTCCAACGTCGCCTGGTTCACACCCTCAAACAGTTCTTGATAGTCCTCCGGCACACATCGTCGTAAGTTGTGTTCCTCATCTAACACACAGCGAGACCAATAGCGGCCATCCATCTCACCCTCTTGGTCCTCCACCAACCACTGGGACTCATCCATATCGTCACCAGCGTCTTCACCTCCAGCGGACTCCATCCAACCTTCAGTGGTTTCATTATCCGGAACAGCGTCAGTAGTTGTCGACACTGGTTCCACCAATCTGCTCATGCAAAAGACGTTGCCATCCTCGCCACCCTCGTCGGCCCTAAAGACTCGCACCACAGGCGGTGTTTTTCCAACCACGCGTCGTTCAGGATGCCAGTCATCACCTTCATCTTCGTACGGAGGTAGTTCGGGTAGGCGACGGACATTTGTTGTGTACCAAACATTGCCCTGCACGGTGCGAACAACATGACCATGGGAGACTGTCTCAACAGGCCCCAAATAAGACCCCTGGATCCACTTGTCCTCGAAGTCAGTGCCCCCTTGGCCATACCTCTTCCTCTTGATGAACACCTGTGATCCGAAAGGAGCGACGCTAGGATTGCCCCTTCCAAAGGCCTGAGCAGCGTGTTGTTGGCAAATCGTTGATGCCGCCCTTGACCACCACGATCTCACTACGGCATCTCCAAGCTTGCTGTAGGCTTTGGCCTGTCCAAGCAAAGTTCGCACCCGGCCCTTGATGAAACCAACAGCCCGCTCCGCCGCCCCATTTTGTGACGGATCATCGCCTTGAGTCTTCGTGACTATGATGTCCCTCGCCGCTGCCCACATGTCCATACCCTCGTTCATGAACTCCCTTGCTCGGTCGCAATGTACTCGTAAGACTGGCAGGCCCCGTTGTCTTAGAGACAGGTACATCTCCTGCAAGGCCTTGAGTGTTTCCGCCTTCTTCCTGGTCTTCAAGGGTCGACAAAGATAGGCAGACTCGAACTCGAAGGGCTCAGACATACGCTCCAGGGCCTTGATCTCCTCCTGTTTCGGATCATCTTCCTCACGAATAGCAGCAGGATCAGGGCCAAGCTCCTCCGAGACCCCTACAGGCGCACCTTCAGTAGCAGGAACCTCTGATACGACATCCTCGCCCTCCATCCCAGGCAACCAATCACCCTCGTCATCCGGTTTGTCCACGTCCCCAGGCTGCACACCAGACTGCTCAGGGTCCCCTGTTTCTGGGATCTTAGGAAAGCGGAAACACCCGACTAGCAGGTAGCGCGCTCCATCAGTGCCCGTCGCCCTAAACGGACCAGCAGTGTCAATGCTCAGGACATACGCTGAAGGATGAGCGACTCTCCTATGTGGCTTGCCCGTCGCCCTTTGGATGCACTCCCGGCAATCCTTCCTGTATGGCAAATGGTCCCGTCTCAGGTGAATGCGCCATTCCTCCAAGCTGAATTTAGCGAGCTTCCCTTCACCTTCTTCACCATCTCGCCTTCCCAGCCTTCGAACCATACTGGTCAAAGCATGTTCTCGCGTAGCAAAACCGGGCCAAGCACATAGAGCATCACAGACAGAACTTATCATCCCCGTTGGCCATCGACTTGTTCTTGTACCGGCCTTCAGACCATGACCATCCTCACCCTCCAAAGACCAGAGATTGAGGTTCGTACCCAAAGTCGTAGGTCCCAAGTTTTCCAAATCACACTTGACCTCATCCATGGTGTACATCCTCGCGAAGGTTTTCCACATGGTCGTTCCAAACAGGTCGTAGCATGGCACCCGTCCATTGGCCTCCTCCTCATCCTCACTTTCCAGCTCCTCCTGAGCCTCACGAACCTGGTCCCTTCCATGTAGCGCTGGGCCCTCATCCCATTCCAAGGTTGAGCGTATCGGAAAACCCAAGCATCGAAGTTTCCCGACCTTTTCATCCGGCAACTTGTCGAGGCCGAGAGGTGTGTAGGCCGCCACGAGAAGCTCCTTCTGAGTTTGATCCTTCCCCACATACGCATGGTGTTGTTTTGGATTGAACCTCGTCATCCTTCCAGAGATCTCAACCAAACAGCCCTTTAATTGTTCAAAGCCAGAGAATGGACAGGACCTTTCGACACATCTCCCTCCACCACCAAATTTCTGTCCATCCAGGTCCCCTTCAAGCCACAGACCGGAGGAAACCTCGCGGCCAGGATCATCATCGCCCAACCCATTCTGTCCATCCAGGTCCCCTTCAAGCCACAGACCGGAGGAAACCTCGCGGCCAGGATCATCATCGCCCAACCCAATCAAGTAGTTGTTACTATCACGAGCGTTCCGGACATCTCGATGTCGAGGCACTTCATTCGTCTCCATGACCAACAAAGCCGACCAAGAGCAATCCTCATGCAGCTGCGTTTCCACATTCCACCGCATAAACATGTTCAGGTACTTCGTCAACCACGGTCTCTGGAGTGCCTCTGTAGTAACCCCCCGATTGCCGCCATGAGCATATGCGCCAAGCACCACAGATCCTTCTTGTTCGCCTCGGGATGAGGCTCGCAAGTTCTTCTTGAAGTTCATCTCTTCCAACAACATGCGGCACTCACGATGCGAAAACTTGCCCAGGTCGAACCATTCCTTAGCCAGCCTCTCTTGCTCCTCAAGGTCACTCTCTTTGTTGTCGCCTTGCTCTAGTCCAGGAACCTTCCCCGATTCAACTCTCGGATGTTCCAGCAACCAACCAACTCCAGGACCCGGGGTTTCTAAAGATCCCTCTCTCCAAAGGATCCTCCTACCCTCAGAAGCTACTGACCAAAGGATCATCGCCCTGGCAACCAGCTGAACTTCCCGAACATGTTGCGAGGACAGCATCGTCTCATTTCCTGTAAAGGGAAAGGTTCTTCGAGGCGGTCCCCCAAATAGAGCCTCAATTTTGCCCCGAGCAGCTCCCCACAAAAGCAGCTTGAAGATGCCATCCTTCTTTAACATGTCGAAGTGACTGCTAAGGTTCAGGTCCACCTCCACCAGAACATCATCACGATGCAGACTGGCCTTCCATTCGCTTGAAGAAGCCAGTCCCTTCTTCCTTTTGTCTCCCGAGAAGAGATGCACCAGCCAGTTGTTGCTAAGGAACATACTCCTTCGTTTCCTTCTACTCCACGGCATGCCCTTCAAGAGCCTCCAGCCCTCTTTGTTCGTCACCGGGAACTCCTCAGGGATGGTCGCGAAAGCCTCCGGGGTCACCCCCTGCAAATAGGGCACCTTCTGGATGAAGCCACAGAAACTCGTTCGAGCCCCAGTTTCCACCAGATCCATGAGGTGCTGTTCCCAACCGCGATCTCCACAGCCCGAGAGCTCAATCTCCTTGAGCTGCCTCTCCATATCCTCCAAGGTCTTCGTGAACTCGCCAACCCGTTTTTCCTCCAATTCCTTGATGAGCTGTAGCGCGCTCACCTCGGTCAGCTCTGGGCAGAAATGGTTGACTTTCACTCGCAACTTGCCATGGATCGGGTGTCGAACTTCAAGCCTTGTCGGAGACCATCGTACCGTGCATCCAAGCAACTGCACCAACTGTCCCATAGGTAGTATCGTTCCACCACCCGAAGGGTTCGTAGAAGGCGAAGACAACAGGGTTCCACCAGCGTTCTGCGAAAGGACAACGTGATCATCATTGGCCAAGGCAACCTTCACCAACTTTCCTTGTTCCACCTCACGATCGTCAACAGCAACCCGAAAGGCATGGCTCGCTCCCGAATCCAACAGGGCCATCTTCTCCTCGGAATCCTTCTCAACCGCCTCTGGCTCAGTCTGCAGCAACCGTTCATACACATCCATTTTCACACGGAAGTCTTCATTGCCAACCCTCTCCGGAAGCACCACCAGCATTCGCAGTCGCCGCAAATCCTCCAACTGTCTCTGTATAACCCCCAAAGGATCCGAGGGCGCCGAAGAAGCCGAACCTGTGCCAGAGCCCTGAGCCTGAGTGGAAGTCAAGGCCTTCAGCATCTTGTTTGTTTCGGACAACATCGCCGCCACCTGCTCCGTGTCGATCTTGTTTGAGGTTGAAGGAGTAAGGCTTGAAGGCTGCTCACGAGTAGCATCTCCAGCCGGCACCGACGGACCTGACGAAAGCGAAGGACCTTCCGAGGAAGCTGCCCCTGTTGTAGGAGTAGCTGCTGCAGCCTGCTGTTTGGCCAACCTCGGCTTTGGGGCCGGTTTGTCAGTAGGACTCACCTTCTTCGTAGGACAATCCCTTGCCCTGTGCTTCGTCGAACCACAAAGGAGGCACCGTTCGGCTCGCTGAAGACCCTCCCACGAATGCCTGAAACTGCAGTTCTTTCCATTTCTGCAACCATCATCAGTAGTGAACCATGAACACGGCTTTGTCGGATTCGTAGGCGGTGGAGAGGCCTTGGCCTTTGGCCTCTGAGTGGTATTTCCGGCATCTGAGGGCTGTTGCTGCATGCCCTTCAGTTTGGGTCCGGGAGCCTCCGATGCCTGTGACGGTGTAGCCTTTCTCCCAGTAGCCCCAAGCTGCTCACATTCTGCAAGGAGATGTTGGAAGTACTTCAACACATTCTCCGAGGTGGGTCTGGTGTCAATCTGAAGCTCCGCCTTCGCCAAGGACACCTTAAAGCGAAAGTCTTGATTTGTCTCCGCCACCTTCTTCGTTAAGACCCCCAAAGACTTCACCTGGACGGACTCATCTGGCAAGGAAACACCAAGATCCAAAGCTCGCTGGTACAGGCGATACCATCTCCGTAACGCAACCACTGCATCCGTCGCTGTTCCTGGAGATTCACTCACCTCCAACTGTTTCAGAAGTTGTGCCCGGTCCTGAGCGCCCCCAGGCTGGTACACAGCCATCAGCCTGAACAGTATCTGATGAGTCCCCTGCACACGATAGGCCACTAGCTCATCTCGGACACCTGTCGGAAGCGCTACTAGAAGCAAGGCTGCCACCTTTTTCGCAAGCTTCTGGTACTTGCCGTCCTGAAGCTCCTCTGATAGCCTTGCCTTCACCCCAAGCCGCTTGATCGGCGAAAGCGCCTGATACTCCTGGTATGCTTCCAAGGCCGAACCCATGACTTGTTTCCACCACTCGCCAGCGCTTGCCGCCATAGCAGACACTTGTTGCTCCACAAGATACAGCCAGTCCTGGAAGTCTATGGCACCAGATTCCGGAGTGTAGTCAGGCAACATCGGAAAATTCGGCGACGCCTTATCCACATCCAACCCGTCTCCCTTCTTCAGCAACATCTGTTGCAGCTGCCCGATACCTGTAAGCACAATGTCCATCGGAGAAGGGCTTGACGGAGCTGCAGGCGCCACATCGCCTGGTTGTTGCTCGCTTCCTGGAGCAACGGGAGGACTGAGACCAGGAGGAGCTTCACAAGGCGCACCAAGGGTTGCAACTCCCTCAGGTCTCTTCAGCGGCTCATAATCTCCCCTTATCCCTAGCTCAGGCTCCAAGCGAGCCCTGAAGGCTCGGTCAAACGGCGGGACACCACAGACATCCCCTCCAGACAACCTCTCACCCACAACTCCTCTACCACCACTTGGCGACGGACTCGCTGAGGCAGATCGCTTGGCACCATAACCACGAGCATACACATTCCTTGGCCTGTTCCCAAGCTCGCCATGTCCTTCTGCACTTCTTGACCTGGCACCAGCTTCGCCCCTCTGTGCACGAGGACCATCATGGGCCCGAGACATCGACGGAACTGGTTGACGACCTTCCCGAAGAGCTCCCCGAACCCCAGAAGTCACACTTGTTGCTGCAAAGACCCGATCACCATGAGGTACACCACGATCCTCAGGAAGTGCATGAGATGCTGGGTAGGCCCGATCTCCATGAGGTACACCACGATCCTCACGAGGTGCATGAGCGAAAGAGGCCCGATCTCCATGAGGTACACCACGATCCTCACGAAGTGCATGAGATGCTGGGTAGGCCCGATCTCCATGAGGTACACCACGATCCTCACGAAGTGCATGAGATGCTGAGGAGGCCCGATCTCCATGAGGTACACCACGATCCTCACGAAGTGCATGTGTTGCGAAAGAGGCCCGATCTCCATGAGGTACGCCACGATCTTCATGAAGCACTTGAGTTGCGAAAGAGGCCCGATCTCCATGAGGTACGCCACGATCCTCATGAAGCACTTGAGTTGCGAAAGAGGCCCGATCTCCATGAGGTACGCCACGATCCTCATGAAGCACTTGAGTTGCGAAAGAGGCCCGATCTCCATGAGGTACACCACGATCCTCATGAAGCACTTGCGATGCTGAGTAGGCCCGATCTCCATGAGGTACACCACGATCCTCATGAAGCACTTGCGATGCTGAGTAGGCCCGATCTCCATGAGGTACACCACGATCCTCATGAAGCACTTGCGATGCTGAGTAGGCCCGATCTCCATGAGGTACACCACGATCCTCAGGAAGCTCAGACTGCTCCCTCATCTGCCGCTGCGCCTCATTCCATAGAGCCCCACCCCGGCCTTGTCCTTTCACATCGCCACCACCCCCAAAAGCCATCTCCCGCAATCGCTCATTTTCTTCTTGAAGGCGCTCAAGCCTTCCCTTCTGTCCTGCCAAGGCCGCTTCCACTTGTCTTCTCACCTCCTCCTGCACCAACTCCACCGGAATGGACGCCGATGAAGCATCGTCTGTTCCCACACTCCTCGGACCATGCAGCAAAGGAGCCTGTCTTGCCCAGCCTTCCATAATACGACGAGCACTGCTGGGAAACAGAGGAGGATCCCCACTTTGTTGTCCTGTCGGAGAAAAACCACCAGACATTGTTGCCGCTGCTGCCGGGTATGTTGCATGCTGCGGTGTGGAGGGGTGCGAAGTGGTATGCTGCTGCTGCAACTGCTCATGTTGTTGAACCACTAAACCACCACTACTACCCAACACTCGTTGCCTCGTGAGCGTCGTTGTCAGCGTCTCAACCTGTCCGGAAGCTTGGCGAAGATAATCCCCGAGACGACTCATCCAGGACGGGACTGGCAAGGCAGTCCCACCCTGGGAGCCTCCCGGGTGATTATCCGTACTCGCCCGCGCGACCAAGTGCGGAATCGTTGGCCCCACATTCCCAGCAGACACGGAAGACGTTTCTTGGCGAAGCCCGGAATCACAGGAAAATGTACCAGGCGGTCCCACATCTTCTGTCCTTGAAGTCATTGCTGGTGGCCATGGAGCGCTTTCCAAACTCGCTGCACCAGGTGAGGCCTGCACCATATCCTCACGCCTTACAACATCAGCCGAAAGTACCCCATTGGGCATCGCATTTCCAGCAGGATAACGATCGTAGCGCGGACCAGCAGTCTCACCTTCCAATCTCGAATCAATGGCACGCCGAGCACCAGTTGGGCTCATAACCCCTTGGTCCTCGTGAGGACCAGGGGCGGAGGGCGCAGGAGCGGCCATCGAAAAGAGGGATCTAAGGGAAACCAGGACTACACCCAGAAAGCCCCAGCTTCAACCAAACCCTCAAGACGGAAAAAACCCTGGACGGGGACCACCGGGCTAGGGGAGGTCCGGAAGAGGCTAGACCAGCCTAAGCTAGAGGAACCACCCGGGAAACACCCCCCAAAACCCTCACACCCCAATCCAGGCACGCACTTTTTCATGCTTGAGCCAAAATCCAGTCGCAATGCTTACATATGCGGAGCTCTGCTCTCGCCTGTGCCGAAGCAATGCTTACATATGCTGAACGTCCTGCACACCTGTGCTGTAGCAATGCTTACATATGCAGAACATCCTGCACACAAAGGCATGGTGCCCTTCTCCACTTCAGCCTTCTCAGAGGCTTCCCTTATCCCAACAAAACCCTAAACCCTAAATCCAAAATCCTCTGCTCAAAAACAGTATTGCAATCAACCAAAAATAAACCAAAATGTTTATAAAAGAGTTTATAAACCCCAAACCCCAAACCCTAAATCCGAAATCCGAAACCCTCAAAACAAAATAAATAGAAGTTATATGTGGTATCATTCTGAATTTCCAAGATATTTGTCTAAACAGCTGACAAACAGAATTTAAGCAAAATTAATCCAAAGCAGGAGGCCGGGAGGCCACATGTTCAATTTACTTAAACCTCTGGGGCCTTCCCATGTCCTGGCAAACCAAACCCAAATCGCCTCCCAAAGCCCAAAATCGGCTTCCAAAACCCCAAATTGGGATTGGCTTCCCAAATTGCCTTCCAAAATTGGCTTCCAACCCAAAATTGGCCCCAAAGCCCAAAATTTGCTCCCCAAGCCCAAAATTGGCTTCCGGAACCCTTAAACCCTTGCGCTAATTAACGTCCCATCAGACGCCCTTCCCCACAAACCAGGAATTCAGAGGGTTCCTTTCGGGCTTTGCGCACTAAAGGGCGCGTGATGCAGAAATCCGAAATCGTGTGTGGTAGAGGCTTCTCCAGCAGGTGTTTCTCGAACAAAAGGTGGTCTACGAACCGCCATGACATGGAGGCTTACGAAAATAGGGGACCCCTAAATAGACCCCCAAATAGTAGCATTCCCTTATCAGAAAGGACCCCAATGCGGTACCCCCAAGTTCGGAAACCTCCGTATGGGGAAGTTGACGGGAATTGTATCGTACCATAGGGGGCCTTATCAACAAAGATTCTAATGGCGGCTGTTTTAATCAAGTCAGGCAGGCATGACTCCAGCTAGTGCCATGGTGAAACGCCCAGAGCGCACTGCTGCTGCAACCGGCGAAGATTCAAATCGGCCAAATGCAACGGCACCGGGGGGCGGCTATTTTCGCGCACCCATTCCAATTTTTTGGGGGTTTCCAAACAGAATTGACCCCTAATCGAGATCCCACTAGGATTCCCTTATTATAATGAGGACCCCAATAAGGTGCCTAATTTCGGAAACCCCCAACTTTGGGGGGCTTGCTCCTTTGGCCTGGTTCCTCAGCCACTTCCAGTGGAACCAGGCCTCGTAGCCTTCTTCCGCTTTGCTCAAGATGTCAACTAACAGAGCTTCTCTGCCAAGGCATCCTTACTAAGCCATCCGATGTCCGAAGCCCCCAAAACACCGCTGTTCCTAAAGCCCGACAAAGCCTTTAACAACTAACCATGCCAAGAGCACCACCCTTCAACGCTGCAAACCTGTAGCCATCAATTCCCGAGCCCCTAAACTCCCCCGAGCCCTATCCCCCGAACCCTAGACCCCTCAACCCTAAACCCCTCAATCCTGAATCCCCTCGCGTTGCTCTGCATCCATCTCTGCGTGGCCGTGCGGCGAAAGGCAACGAATCAGCAGCTGGGGCATTCAAATTTGACCCCCCCCCCCCCCCGTGTACTTAGCTTTGTGTCCTTTGTCCCAAGAAGACCTTCAAGGCCCGAGAAGGAAGATTTGTATGCACATTGGCTCCTGCAGCGGATGGAGGAAAGAGATGTGCGAAACTTTGGAAGGGTAGGCCAAGACTTTTAGCGAATGTCTTGGGATGTTCCCCCCCAAATAAAACAGTCCTGTATAGGGATGAGAATAGGGGGTACTATACTCCCACCCTATTAAGGGCTGTTAGTATAAGGGGGAACATTTTGAAGCATCTCTTTGCTTAGCGCAGAGTTTCCTCCATGCGCAGGAGTAAAGAGTCAACGACTGGGCTTCCACAGGAACTCCTCCCCCGACTCTCGAAGGGTGCTAGGGAGGAAGGCTTAACGTTCACGGCTCATGCATTTGGGTTGGGGGCTCGGGGTTGCCTCTGACGGGAGTCTTCGGGGGCGGCAGGGGCGCTAAGCGAGTGTGGATATACCTTCACGTGGAAAAGATTCAACATAGATAAGGAATAGTTTCGGTACGTCGAGCCTTTCTGTCACTTGGTAGTCCAGTCTTACTCGCACAGAACCTTGAACCCAAACCCTGTAGAGGTTCGAGGTCAGATTCCTGGCATTGAAGGAGGCGTGGCCCTTGGAACGCCAGCATCTTCTTCACTGTGGGCAATGCCCGATCTGGTCCATCAGCAGTCGTAACCTCGAGAGAATAGACAACAGTGCCGCACTAGAAGATAGCTGCCAACGGCTAGCTGCTCACGACCTGAAACCCAAAATGAACAAACGAATGCCTGGCCATGCACAAAGAAATTAAACGCCATTACCTTGGCCAAGGATGTCTACGAGCCGCCACCTTCGATTCTGCAGAGTGCACAGCAGGCTCCCCATGAAGACAAAAAGACATCACGGTGCCTAAACCCCAGACCCTTCAAATCCTGTATCAAAGGGATCCCCCGAAGCGACATCCCTCACGTCCTAACGCTTGCTAGCGCAATCTCTCATGAAACATGCCCGGTACTCAGCCCTAAACCCTAAACCCTAAACCCTAAATCCTAAACCCTAAACCAGTACACCAAACCCCGGACCCAACATCCACTGCTCGGCTAGGCAAGGTGCGGAGCTGCACGCGAGGAAGCGCGCGGGTTTGCCTTGGACTCGACTCAGGCTTTTTTAGGGTTTAGGGTTTAGGGTTTAAGGTTTAAGGTTTAAGGTTGAGGGTTTAGGGCCCCATTCAGGGATCCCAAACGCTGTCCCTACCCTCTACGCGCACAATAGCGGGACTCGGCACTGAGTCAGGGCCGTGAGCCCAGGATGCATGGAAGAAGGCATCTTGAGGTTTGAGCTGGGAAGTGCGACTTCGGGATCTTTCGAACCTCAACCGCGGCATCTGGCAATCTCGTCTCAAACCCCAGAGTGTAACAACCACTGGAACCCTAAAACTTTACACCCTATAGCATCCTAAACCCCCAAACGCCTAAACCCCTAAACTAAACCCTATGTAAACCCTAAACCCCTAAACCCCTAAGTGGCATGGACCTTTACGTATTATTTGGCAATCCCTTTTGTTTCTTATTTAAACGATGACTTTGCAAGTATCAGATATAGGTTCTGGGCTTAGAGTATTATTTAATATTTGTTGTTTCATATTTCAAGCAACTCTTTGCAAAAGGGTTTAGGGTTTAGGATTTACGGTAGCCCACGTATCATGTCATAAACATCTCGGCGCCCAGACCGGAACCATCAAGAATAGGTCGGTCATTTCTCTTTCGTGCTTGTTTCTTTAACAATTTTCGAGAAGACAAAAAGAAAGGAAGTGATTACAAAGGAATGCGGGTGGAGATGTCTTTCCCTCACTGTCCTCATTTGTTTAATCATTCTTCTCTGTTCTTTTTGCCTTCTTCTTTCAGAATGTTGCAACGACAAGGATAGCACGAACGAAAGGGAAAAGGAAGACGCCACTTCCTCTCGATGTGTTTCTCTCTCCTTTCCTTCCCCCTTGCGATGTTGTATCTCTTGTTGTTTTGCCCTCTCCTTCTCTCTCACTCTCTCCGTCTCTCTGCCATCTCTTGCCCCTCTCCTTCCCCTCCTTTCCAAAACTTTCTGCAAAGAGTAAGGAATAGCAGACAGAGAGAGAGAGAGAGAGAGAGAGAGAGAGAGAGAGAGAAACAAGAGAGAGAGAGAGAGAGAGGACGGAGGAAGATGGTGGGGAGAGGAAGGGTGATATCCTCCTTCGCTTGGGTCTCTCGCTTTCTCTTCCCTTGCTGTTTTTTCTTCTCTTCTCCCTGTTCTCTTCATAAGAAAGGAGAATGAAACGGACGGAGAGCTCTGGGAAAGCAAGATGCTCTCGCTCTCATCATCTTGTTCTTCCTCGTCTTCATGCCTCTCTTAATCTCTCTCTCTCTCTCTCTCTCCCTCCCTCCCTCCCTCCCTCCCTCCCTCCCTCTCTCCCCTCTCTCCCCTCTTTCCCTCCCTTCTATTGTTGCAAATTCCCTTTGTCGCTTCTCTTTATCGCTTGTTACCTTTGACTTGGTATTTATCTTTCCCCCACTCCTCGCTCCCTTCTCTTCCCCTCTTCCTTCCCTTATCTCCCTGCCCTGCCTCTTCCCTTTGTCAGTCAGAAGGACGATGCACAAGGAAGAAGACAAGGGAGTAAGGGACAAGACAAGAGAAAAAGAGAGCGAATACGAGAATGGCAGAATCAGAACAAGAGCCAAAAAGGAAAGCCGAAAGAAAGAGAGAGACAGTAAAAGAGGGTTTGGCTGAGAGTCCTGCAGCATAGATGGAGTGGCGAGATCAACGTCTTCAAGGCATGTCTTGGGTGTCCGGAGATGGACGACTTATGAGTTTTCAGAGGTCCAACGCAGACCCAAGTTTATTCTGGTGATGGCCCAGGAGAAACTGAAAGGCGTGAGCGAATTAGTGGGGACTATGGGCCTCTACGTGGATGTTCTTGTTTGCCGGGAATATGACACGTGATCCGGGAGGCGCTGGGACAGATCAGGAAGGAAAGGAAAACATCGGAACCTGAATTCTGTGGTCCGGGCTGCGGAGACGGATTCCTGAAATTTTTAGGGGTTCAGATTTGGTACAGAAACGACACCTTCTTTCTTTCTGAACCAAGAGGATTTTGTTCGAGATTTGC